AACGTTACTTCTCTGATCTTAGGTTTGGTCATGACATGGTTTCCCACGTACACTAAGATTACATTAAACAGATGTAAAGCACAATTTATACTTCTGCGTCGAACTCACGCCGTAGCTACATACCTGCTGTGTGTAGCGCGCGTACCCTGACGTGCACCTCTCCAAAAATGTAACAATGCGTCAATTCTACGCGTACAGCAAGCGCTGTGATTGCTAGAACCGCTCCCCGGGTTTCACATGCATGCTCCCTCTGCATGTGTAATTGCGCGTCAAGGGGGACAACGACGCAGAAGTAAATAAAAACCAACGCGTAGTCTATAGCGTAGAGGCTCCGGCGTAGGTCCGACGCAGAATTATAAATCAGCCTAGAGTGAGGTGAAGTGGTCGAGCACAGGTGCAGCGACAAGCGGGTGCGTTCCTGTGAAACTGTTGCGGTCATGCTCGCCTCACTCACGCGCCCGCGCCCTCCCGTTGCCGAAGTTGAATTGACGACGCGCAGCACAAATCATTGGAAGAGAGACTGATCCTCGGCTCGCTGTTTGTGAGTTTCCACAATCTAAATAGTTATCAGGACGTCATCAACAGAAGGGAATTCACATGGCAGAGCATCTCCGCTAAACTAAACGCAGGCCTATCAGGTAAAGTTATGTATAATTTTAATTTAAGTTAAAAAGGCTACAGCTGCATAGCGCACAGAAGCCGTTGCCATGGTTACTATCCATAGAGCGCCTGTCATTCACTCGCGGAGCGCTGTCCCTGTTCACCTGAGAGAACCTGCCAAAGCCTCTCCACTGCTTGTTTGGGTGGGTTATTTGCTGGCTGACCAACATCCCACCCCTCCTGTGATGCATGGTTTGACTGTAGGCCTATGTGTATTCAGAGCCAGTGAGCAACGGACTTTCAAAATAATAATAAAAAAAACTGCGTTAACGTGCGATAAAAAAATTGTCGGCATTAATTAATAAATGCGTTAACGCGATAATAACGCGTTAACTTGCCCAGCCCTAATATACAGGGGCGCCGTATAGGGGGGAAAAGTTAGGACAATTCCAACGGCCCCTGACTGACAGGGGCCCCAACAAATAGGTAAAAACTAATAAGAATATATATATATTATACACTATATAAACCATCAACATTGAGTATATTTCTAATTATAATGTCTTTGATTTTACTTATTTTGGCAATAAAAGTTAAATATCCCCATAACCATTGACCAAAAAGTAAACATCCATATTGACCGACCACCCCCTGTATCTGCATGAAATGGTTTGGTCCTGCCTAAGCGCGCGCACTCATCAGTGACGGTGTTTAATTGCAGACAGATCGCGTCGATGCGCCAGAAAACAATGACCACAATGTTGCATTGTTAAATAAAATCTGGTTCTCAAAAAAGGAAAGAGAGAGAGGAAAGACAAAAGAAAGGGTGTCAATCTGTAACCCAGTTTTTCACCAAGAAAGGTGAGTAGCCTTTGAGTGGTCTGAGTGGTATTAACCTGTTGTCCATAGTGAAATAAGCTAGCTAGCTGCAGGCTACTGTTAGCCTACGTTTATTTAATCAACATTTAATCAGTGCAGGGAAACGTTTAGCAAGATATTCATATTAAATCATTGTCCATGCCCCTTTTAGCAGACTCAACAACAGATGAGTCAGTAGCACCCCAGTCTCCCCATAACTGCACCCTCCCTGTCCCTGTCCAGGTGAAGAAGGTGAGCAGCATTGTGTTAATGACTTAGCATCATTCCAGGGAGTGTGTGTGGGGTTCTCTGTCTCTCTTGCTCTTTTTACCATAACAAAAAAGAAAATGAAATATTTATTAATGACAGAAATCAAACACAAATTATTTTCTCACATAATGACCATTATGACAGACATAAATAAAAAACAATAAAAAAACAACCTCCTGTCTGTGCTGGATGCAGTTAGAAACAATTAGTAGCTTACCTCAACCTGCATGTAAGTTACAGACAGTATTAAAATAATCCAGTTTGATGCGTTCATTTAGACTGAATTTTGAGATGATGATATTAATTTATTTTGATTAAAAAGTTAATATATATTTAGTTATTTATTTTTTTATCTGTCTTTAATTTTGCAATAAAAATACATTGAGACTGTAAAGGATTGCCTTAAAGCTGCTGTAGGTAACTTTTGAAAAAATGTATTTGCTAAAACTGTCATTATGTCCTGACAGTAGAATATGAGACAGATAATCTGTGTAAAAATCAAGCTCCTCTGGCTCCTCCCAGTGGTCCTATTGCCATTTGCAAGAAATACACGCTCCCGGTCAGAAACAACCAATCAGAGCCAGGAGGAATGTCTTAGCAGTGTCAATCACGGTCGTGTACGCGCTGATCACACCCCTCTCTTGCACAGCGCGAGCCGTCGTTCAAACTCAAGATTGCCGGCGTGCTGCAGCTGTGCTTATGACGGAGAAACAACCTAAACTGCCAATTCTCGAGTGACACCTGCTCATAAAACAAAGAGGTAAAAGGAAAAAGACCGATGACGATAAACAAGCGAAAAAGAAAGAATTACACAGAGCCCATTGACTCGGTGTCAAAACTCTAGCCGCATAACATGTAGATAAAATGTCACGGACTCTGCTAAGCAACAATTGAAACCTGCTAATTCACTGGCTTGTCATGTTGCTGAAATAATGTACTAGCACACCTTATCTAGCATTATATATCCCTAGAATAATTACTTAGATACTGTAACGTTAGTTACCGTTATATTAACGTTATCTTACTAGCTATTTATAACTTATAGAAAGAGTGCAACATTATAAAGTTACATGTAGGCTATTGCAAAATACATAATGATTTGAGGACCAAGTTTGTAGTCAAAGTATGGGCAGGCCATAGTCAATGTAAAGCATATTATTGACGTTTAGTCCCTATTAGTGAATGTGCCATATAACTTTTTATCCGCTGTTATCGGTGGCCCTGTTTACTAGCCTGCGCGTTCACGACAGGCTCCGCTGTGGAGGACGAGCTGTGGAGGGAGGGCTGTAGCGCAGCAGAGAGCAAGGGGGTGGGACCTGTAAGTTGTGCTTGTTCAAATTTTCAGGCTAAGTCAACGTTTTCTCAAAACTCCCTACTGCAGCTTTAAGGACATTTTTATGGTGGCTTTTAATCTTGCATCTGTATGCATACTGTATGCAGACTTGCATTTACAAATCACCAGCAGTAAATAGTGCTAGTACTAGTATTGAACTACAAGAAACAAGACAGTTGCAAGCCTTTAATTAGAGTTATGTAAAGCTTTTGATGGGACAGTTAGGTCCTAGAGATGTGGTGACAACAGCTGCGCAGAGGGGGCCCAATGTGATTTTTTTGTCATGGGGCCCAAAATTCCTGGCGGCGCCCCTGCTAATATATATATATATATATATATATATATATATATATATATATATACAGTATATACACACAAGGACCAAGGAACATGGCCAGAAACACGCAAAAACAGAACATACTGTATATGGTCAGCAGAACAGGACCATTAGGTAACATCTATAGGTCAGGGGAACGTGACCGCCAAATAACATGCATTCCTCAGATGACCTTATAACATGTTGATATCCCTCATGTTGAAACCCTTGTGGTTTGTATGGATATTTGGAGTCCAGTAACAAAATTTCTTGTTGTTGTGTTCTCAAAACCTATAGAGAACATGCACACTTTGATGAAAAGTAGATAACTTATAGTGACAATAGAACAATGACCTAGCAGACTAACACTCCCAAATTTAGTGAACTCTAACCAAACATTACATTGTTAGAATTCAAAATATAAGATTAACATTTTAATATTATTTCATTGTCTATGGATTAAATCCTGTGTACATGTTAACCAGTCACCAACTGTGTCAAGTATAGATTAAGGCTCAATCACAATTCACCCCTTGGCCCTACCCCTTGTTTTCGAGTGTACCCCTTGGCCCTTAAAACAGAGTTACAAGGGCCAAGGGGTTGAAATATTCCCCTACGAAATGGAACAACCCTTCATGAACCCGATACGTCATCAGTCGTCGGCGATGGCTCTGCCGTTACGGAGTTTTTATAGGATTTCTCCATGACAACGACTGACAATCAGCGCAGCTGCTCTTAACTTTGAGGAAATCAAATCCTATAATCAAAAGGATGATTATAACATTCCTTCCTCGAAATGTATGTCTTTTCTGATTCGGAAAGGTAATTTATTATACAATTTCTTGATTTAAATGACTATATTATTATTATAAGAGTAAATAAAGTGCATGTGGTGTCATCTGGGGCTAAATTTAAATGTTTAACCGTTTGTGAAGCCATCTCGCCGGTGATTTGCGATGCATTCTGTGAACTTTCTCGTAACCCTCCGTTTGGAGTGTGCCTCTGAAAAATCTCCGTTTCGAGGGCTATGTAGCCCTACCCCTTCGCCCTACCAAGAATCGGGACACCCTACCCCTAGACGTGAATGCGCAAAACAGAGGGGTAGGGGTAGGGGCAAGGGGTGAATTGGGATTGAGCCTAAATCCTTGCCCAGTTGACAAGGGCTGTGGGCAGAGCATTTCAAAATTCCATATATAAAGCACCAGGAAAGTGATATTATCAATTAATGATGTGTTGATATGAAACACAGGCCAATAGCATATTAAACCTATGTTTATCCTCATGGCTAGTAATATACACAATAGGAACTAAGTTTGCATAACTTACACACAGCGTGTAGTGCCCAGGGGTCCACAATGGAATAATCAAGGCATCTTTCATGTGCGAATTCACCTAATTACAAGAGGCAAAAAAATTGTACTGTCATGTACTAAAAGGATGATGGTGGTTAAATACTGGTCAACACTTTTGTTGATGTAACTGAAATCCTTACATGTCATCCTTACTTCTACTTTAATTTAGCATACAGACGACATACATAGTTGCTAGAGCAAACAGGACTCAGTGATTTGCCCAAGTGTCACCCTGTTTGCAAAACCTATGTGTCCCAATAAAGTAGCAAACTGACATTCACAGTCTGATTTCACGAAAACTGTTTCTTACCGTAAAACTGGAAAGGGGAGATTGATTAATGGGTGGGAGCCAAGTTGGAGGAACATAGAGATCAATGATGAAAACGTCTTTTCCCTGCAAAATGTCAATCATTCCAATAAGATAAATGCCTTGAAATTTATTTTTTTTCCCCTCCAAATTTACATTAAATATAACATCGAACCTGCAACTGTAGAATCTCTCTGAGGATCCTAAAACATCCATTTCCGACCTATAAATGAAATATATTATTTATACTAATCATTCATATAAGTGTATTTGCTGCAAGTACTCATTGTGTGTTACCAACCGTGGATTCCAATTCTTTTTTCAGGCCGAGGGTTTGAAAGTCTGATCTGGTGATGCATGTTACTCCATTTTTCACAATCAGCTCATTCCCGGGCTTACTCTGATCCAGGACATAGTTTATCTGAAATTTTTGAAAGAAAACACTAAAATTATGCATGACAAAATAATGCAAAACAAAGATTGTGAGATACATATGAAAAGGTGTTCGATATAAAGTCCATGTGTACCAACTGCTCCTGAAGAGGATGATGTCCCAGAGTCCAGCATGATCGAGAAGGCTTGAGGTTTACTGGTAGAATCAACTCTTGACAGTGCTCACCACATTGGTTTTCAGGTTCTGTTGCTGAAATTAGATAAATGTTGTTGAAGACATTGTTAACTCATTTGATTGAGTATACATTTATCAGTGTACATTAATACATACTTGATGCATGTCATTGAGTACTCAATTACAATTTAGGAACATAATGAATTTACTTTTTATAAACAAACAGTTTAACCTTGTACATAAGTTTTTCAGATAACAAAACATCTGTAAAGAACCCAATTTTGCATATGTGTGGTCTAAAAATATATATACTTTAATATATACTTATACACATACTTAGTCTCCACTTTTTAAGTATCATGTTTGTTTTTGTCTAATGTTGCAGGAACAAAAAGATAATTATTAAAATAATTAATAAAACATTTATGATATATAACAATAAATAATTTTATACATACCCTTTCCATCATGGGTGTGGCTTAAACTTAGGCTGGCCTGTTTGTTTAGACCGGTTTTTGAATTTGTTGCGGTTTTTGAATCTGTTTGTTGAGAACCTTTGAACAAAGTCAACAAATTATGATTCATAAAGAAATAGTAACACAGGCTTTATATTTGTTTGAAATGTGATAAATTCCAAGATATATTTTGTGTTTTGTGTTTCAGTGTGTGATAGGTCACACTCATGAAATGTTTTGGGTGCTACAATGTATTATGTAAACCAGTGAAGATCAATTATTCTGTATGTGTGAACCCTAATGGGCTATGAGTAATACATTGACGTGTGAAGTAACAACCGTTTTAAGTTCTGTGATTTTGCCCGGTGATATTTTCCTAATTTGTGTAATCTTTTATTATTTATGATATGTGCATTTTAAGCTACAAAACCATGAAATCAAACAGTATGTTACAACTAGAATGTAAAAACATGAGATTGCAAGTGACTTAGTGACTTACCGGTACATAGAACTGCCTGGCCATAGTCATTGAATTCAGTGTCAGTCACAAATGTCTTTCTGGCTCTTTTGATGAATTCATTGTTAGTCCTTTGATTGCGGTGGTGTACAATGCTTCTCAAAAGGAATATATTTGTTGCTGTTGCTGCATTATTCAGGAAATAATTGTTTTTCCTCATTTGCGAAAAAAAATTGTTCCACAACTTGGCTATTTATCTTCCCAGCAAGCTCAGGAACCAGAGAAATCTTCCTCAAGATGTCCCTTGGGTCTTTGGTGTTGGACTCATGAAACGTGTCGTACAACACAAAGTGGTCAAAAGATCCAGTAATAGGATGACCATTTTCATCTGGTGTTTCTTTCTTCTCATGGAGCCATGACAGATGGGAAAATATCTTGCCCTCTCTGGCCATGGAGATGTTTTCCGTAGTTGGCTCAAGCAATCTTCCCTCAAAAGGCTGAAAGGGAACAATATCTGGGGCCCTAGTCACATTTGTATGTGCAACCAAACCTCTCGCAAAATCATAAATACATATATTAGGAAGATGTTTCCATGACAGAAGTAAATCTGCATAGTCTCGTGGGCTCTCAGCTCGAATCAGGAATTTTAGGCTGTACACAACACCACAAGGGCACATTATGGCACACCAACCACCTACATGAATACAGGAGAAAAAAAACTGATGAGCAATACAAACCATGTAGACTTGAAATGCATATATTTACACTTTCCAAAACACTGACCTGATGCACCCCATATTTTCTGGAAAATCTTGTCGTAGCTGTGCCGTGTTTGCATTTCACTATGCAAGCGTGAAATGAGGTCCAGTTTTGATCCAACTGTGTCAAGACCACATTCCTTGCACAGTTTACGAACAACATCAACCTGACCAAAGTAGGATTAGGAAAATACATTTTGATGTGCCCCCAAACAAATGCACGTGAAACTAAACAAAAACATATAATTAAAATACATTATACAAAACAAATATACCTTTTGGTTCATGAGCTCCTCCATCAGTCTATCTTCTGTAACATCGTAGACTTGGGACTCTTCAGACACCTTAGCAGTCTTAATCTTTTCAAATTCTGTGTTGAGCACCTCATTGGAGGACCTTGTTTTGTGCCCAATCCAAGGAGCCCAGAAATGGTAGGAGGGCAGTACCTTGAATGGATTCTGATTATTACCTTTGGACACACAAGGTTAGTATAAATAAATATTTCAGTTTTATTTTTTATAAAGCTTGTCATTTGAATTGAAAAAAAAAAAAAAAAATTAGAACTAAATACGAAGAAATATGGGATTGAATCCACAATTACTTGACACAAATCCCCGTCCAATCATCTCCAGGGACACTGCGTTCCAAAACGCCTCAATGTTTACCAATCCTTTGAAATCCTTCGGTGTCTCTTCAATGTCACTCACTATAAGAAACACAATGAAATATAAAAAAAATGTGCACTGAATGGTTTAGATATTTGTCAAGTATGTCATATTTGCAAAAGTTACCAGCCATGGAAAAAACTCCTTTCTTGTGTAGATCCATAACAACAACAGGTGGATGGTCGCCACATGAAGCACACGAGAAGTTGTATGTGTTGTCACAGAGGGCCTCAAAATGTAGGTATGCATGAAGACGTGTCTGACGAAGGATACCTCACATCGTTAAGATTCTCCAGACTGTCAATAACTCGACTCACTGCAGAATGGGTCTAAATGACAGTAAGTAAAATATTAAAGTATAGCATAGAAATCAAATCAACAATGGTGGCGAGTCTTCCAATAACTACCTGAAGTGAACTCAAAAAGAGACACAAATTGAGACTTATCAGAACATGGTCATTGAAGTTGTATAGTTGATCTTTAAATTCTTGATATCGGTACATGGCACCACACTTGATGCACTTCTTGCAGAATGTAGATACGTCTGAAAAATATATTACATTTCAGAAAATACTTTAAATCAGACAACATACAATCACGTTCCAAAAGTAAGAATTGCAGTGAATACACCATTAGTGTCATTAATAAATTACTAATATTACCTTCTACTACGCCATTCATTGTAACAATTCTAGCTTTTGAGGTGATAAGAATTGGGTCAGAGAGTGGGGTCTTGTCATGACAGAAGGTACAGAACATCTCATCTGGAACCAGCAGTTTCGGAAAAGCGTTGTCATGGACTTGACAGCAAAGCTCTCTTGGAAGAATGGCTGGGATCTTCTTCTGTTCATAGAGGTATGTAACCATGTTTTTTAGCATTGTTCCATTTGGGGGGTAGTGTGTTCCACCATCAGGCAAGTCATCATCATTGTCTGGAGTAGTTTGGTCCACTTCAATGCAGGTTTCTGTGCTCTTTTTGCTTCTGAAGAGTTCGGGTACTTTTGAAATAGGTGCCACTTAGCAATGTACTTATGTGGACACGAACGTCGGGATTGAATGCAAGGGCAATGCAAGTTTGTTCTAGCATTATACACCACCATCACTCTTCTTAAATGTGAGTAATAAGAAACCTTTGGTTCAAACACAGAAACATAATGCTTGAAAGTAGGCACACCAACTGTGGTCTCAACAGACAAAGGGACCGATTGAGATGTTGCCAGACTTTGAAGCTTCAGGCACTCTGCCTTTCTGTCTCCTCCAAACCATTTCTTTGCAACCATCTCTGACAAAACATCTTCTTTTAGGTGCTCACTTTCAGCGGTTGATGAACAGTAGTCGACTGACCTGACATGTGAGCACTGAAAGGAGACCACCTTTGAGCGGTGCGCCAATTCATGGTTAGACTGGCATTGAGGTGATTCACAGTATACTTGTTGCGTGTTACCCCAGATCTTTCTTTTGACATGAAATGGCACACTTGATCCGTGCATGGTTTTAACCACAGCAAATATCCCATTTAGATGATCCAGGCACTGGCTTGGCAGGTGCGAGTTTGAGGTGACATCCAGTGTGTGGACACCTGAATGCTTACGTAATATGTGCTTGGACATATTATTTTTGTTCATACACATGTTGCATTTGGGGCAAATTACTGTTTGCTGTCTGTTTTTATGCTTAACAATGGTGCTGTTCCATCCTTTTCTCCGGTAAGTGGTTTTCTGACCTCTCCTTTGGTGAGTGATGTCTCAGCCTCTTTCCTGGTAAGCGCTGTTCCATCGTCATCTCCAGTGAGTGATGTCTCAGCCTCTTTCCTGGTAAGGGCTGTTCCATCGTCATCTCCAGTGAGTGATGTCTCAGCCTCTTTCCTGGTAAGCGCTGTCAGGGTATATCCTGGTAGTAATGTTTGGAGCTCTTTGCCAGGTGCTATACAATGGCTTTTACTTAAATGATTGATTAACCTATTCTTATGGGAAAAAAAAGATTTACAAACACAATGAAAGTGAGCCTGAAAGTGTGCATTTTTAGATTGCTACAATGCCAACTTCAATTTTATTTTCATGAAGATGTTTCATAAAAATAAATGTATAATAACTTTACAAAACTTTGAAGCTATTTATAACTATTTTTTTCATTATGACAATAATTGATTCTACATTTACAAGAAACTTCCAGGTGTCAGCTTTCAAGTGAGATCTTACTTGTGCTTTTAGTACAAAGGGTTCATGAACTGTATCTGTTTCAGTTTGGGTATGCCATATCTGGGGATTTTTCAAAAATGGGGTTGCAGCTTAACAGGTTAAAAATGCACAAATAACAAATAATTAGTCTAAATAATAGGCTGCATTTTGATGCCTGTGTAACAGTGTTGTCTCTGCGTTGTGTTGTGTGTTCACTCAAGACGGACACCGAATCAAGCTTTAAGATGCATTTTTTTTATTCTGTTGAATAACAAAGAACAGCGGTGATCAGTTTCAGCAATCACCCTCGTGCATTCGCAGCCATTCACTCTCTTGGCTGGCGCGAATCTAATTACTCATTTACATAAACAGTTATAAATCAACAAATTTTAAACTCATGGTCTGTACCTGTTGAATAACAACATCATGCTCACCCTCGTGAACCCTTGAATCACCCTCGTGCATTCTATAATGGAGGTGAACATTAAACTTAATATTACAATACATATAACAGTGAGACGAACACAAATCAAATAACATACATCTAAACACACGTATGACTCGGTATTAACCCATAAAATGGTTATACATTTATCACAATATGATTTACTCATGGAGCACTCACTCACCGCAGCCATTCACTCTCTTGGCTGGCGCGAATCTAATTGACCCTACCGGAACCAGTTCATCCTACTACCAGCTCTGGGCGGAGAGTGTGATTTAAAGGGGCCATACATGAAAATAAATGTAGCAAGTGGAAACACATATTTGACCCGTTACATTCCCCCCTGCTGAATTCCACTTGCTTCTGCACAGAATAGCTCCAAAATAATGACCAAAAAAAAATATTACAGACTACAAAATTACATCAGGTACATAACCTCAAGAACCATATACATTAGTAAGAGAGAGAAGAAAAAGAAAAAAAACAGTGTTCAAAATTTCATGAAATTGTCAGTTCAATTCAGTGTAGACACTATTCCCCACAGGAATTAAGGTGGAAAGAGGGGTGGCCAATCCCCTAGGCACTCTTAGACAAACATGCCCGTTACATGTTAGCTAAACAATCACAATTCCTATATTTGAACACACACAAGTTGCTCAGCAGCGAGACTTCACTCCAGTCTCAAATTAATGTATCACGATCTCTTAAAACATCAATATAAACGTTACAGTAACATTTGCATCAACCAATATAGCAAAATGTATACCAGAAAGAAGAGAAGAAAAGAAAAAGATGAGATATTCACTCAAACAACATATTCACGTTTACCCCAGAACTTTTTGCTGGTTCATTATCTCAATGAATCTCGTCACTGGTTTAAACAATCTGCCAGCTCTGGATCTCACACGACTTAGTGAACTTCCAGCAGGAAAGTTACGAACAATGATATTCGACACTGAATTGTTTTCCTCAAAACGACCAGCAATAGGCGTTGAAAGACTCAAAGAAACAGGAGCAGATATATCAATTTGCTCTGCAGCGGATTCGGGTAAACTCCTGTCCATACTCTCAACATCCTCATAACCCTCTGGTCCCAGATGGGTAGTGTTAGAGCTGTCAATCACATGATGGTCTAATTCATTAGCCTGAGTCGCATCCACAGCCTGTGTTGGTTCAAAACCATCTGCAGTTTCCTCCACATAGTCCAAGTCTGCATCATCAGAAGGGAGCTGTGATACCCACTCTCGTGTCCTGTAATTGGTAGTATCCACAGACACATCAGCAGCCTCAGAATCAACACTCTCTGAGCCACTTAGGTGGTCTTCGGACGGCTCACCTTCCAAGTCATCATCAGGAAGTGGAAGAAAGTTAACTGGCATTATAAGGTTGCGATGTACAGTCTTCACAACACCAGTACCACTGTGCTGAATTCTGTAGGTATGACTGTCTGCGTTAAGTCCAACAACAGTGTACACCGTGTCCTCCCAAAGATCAGCAAGCTTCCGTTTTCCACGGGCTCCCTTGTTGGCAAGCAAAACTCTATCACCAACATCAATTGGTCCTCCTTTGACTCTCCTATTGTACAAGTCAGCATGTCTCTTAAGCTGTTTCTTGGCAGATGCCTGTGCAACGCACATTGCCTCCTTCATATCTCTCCGAAGAGCCTGGACGTAATCGTCATAGTTCACAACATCAGGATCGTCTAGAACAGTTCCAAACACCAGGTCAATGGGCAGGCGTGGAATCCTTCCAAACATCAACAGGAAAGGAGCATACCCCGTGGTTTCGTGGATGGTACAATTAAACGCAAAAGTCAAAGATTTGAGTACTTGCGGCCATTTGTGCTTGGTCTTTGCCGGCAGAGCACGTATCATATTGCCCAGCGTCCTGTTCATCCTCTCACAAGCTCCATTCCCCATTGGATGATATGGAGTTGTCCTCGATTTTTGGACTCCAGCGATCTTCAACAGCTCCGCAATCAGGGCACTCTCAAAGTTGGCTCCTCGATCAGAGTGAATTCGGCCTGGGAAGCCATATACACAGAAATAGTTATGCCACAGTTGATGCGCCACTGCTTTGGCAGACTGATTTGGACACAAGAAGGCATTAGCCATTTTTGTGAAGTGATCTGTAACAACAAGAACATCCAGGGACCGGTTGGCAGAGTCCTCCGCTGACCAAAAGTCTATGCAGACGAGTTCAAGAGGCTCTGTCGTAATGATGTTCTGCAACGGTGCACGACCTTCCGGTTCAGGTGTCTTGCTGATCACACATCGACGACAGCACTTTACATACTCCTTCACATCCTTCTCCAGGCCAAGCCAAAAGAATCTTTGCCGAGCAAGATACAGAGTCCGCTGCTGACCTTGATGTCCTGCTTGATCGTGAATGCCTTTCAGAACCATGGTTTTCACTGCGTCAGGAACAACATACAGGTAGGTTTTTCTCTTGGTGACACCATTCTTTGACACCCTGTACAACACACCATTCTTCATCATCAGCTTTCCCCAGTGTTTCATAAGTTTCAAGACAGCTGTCGGCTCCTTCATTCGTTCTTTCCTATTTGGTCTCCGTCCTCTCTCGACAAAACAAATCATCCTGCTCAAAACATTATCTTCCTGTTGTCTTTTCATTAGATATTCATGGGACAGCACATCAACGTCTGGTGATTCAGATGGCATTATTGCTTGCGGAAGGTGAGGCAGTAACAAGGCATGAGACTTGGAATTATTACTATGCCTACATGAGTGCAGCACAGCTTCCACTTCCTGCTTTGACATTGTACCAGGTAAGGAAACTTTAACTGTATTACAGGGAACGGCCATTCCTCCCGTATCGGAAGAACTGTCAAGGGGGTGAGTAGACCAACGAAAGACATCTTGGACACAGCCTGTGTGCACAGCTGCAGTTTCAGCCAGCAATTTATCATAAGGAACTCTTGTCAGACGATGGAGTACACTAGGGTGCACAAAGGGCTCTCGGCTCAAGGCGTCAGCAACTACGTTTTTTGGACCAGGAATGTACTTAATATCAAACTGGTATGGTGCTAGTTTTGCAACCCATCTGTGTTCACAAGCATCCAATTTTGCTTTGGACAGGATATATGTTAATGGGTTGTTGTCAGTCCAAACAGTAAATTTCTGACCACTGAGCCAGTGATGGAATTTGTCACAAATTGCCCATTTCATGGCATAAAATTCTAACCTATGTGCAGGATATCTCGACTGAGCATAGGTAAGCGACTTGCTCGCAAAAGCAATAGGCCTGGCCGT